AAAGATATGAAATTTAAAAAAATAGAATAACTGATCCAGCTAAACCACTTTTTGCTATTTATCTTAAACAATTAAAGTCAGCACACTATAGCAATACATACCTACCCATGTTTATAGCCAAATTTCACAATTCACAATAGCCAAACTATGGAACCAACCTAAGTATCCATCAATGGATAAATTAATAAAGAAAATGTGGTATATATATACACAACAGAGTTTTATTCAGCCATCAAGAAGAATGAAATTATTCCATTTTCAGGAAAATGGATAAAACTTGAGAACATTATGTAAAGTGAAATAAACCAAACTAAGAAAGTCAAAATTCATATGTTTTATCTGATATGTTGAAGACAGAAAAGAAAGGGGAGAAGGAAATTTCTGAAAATTGAAGTGAGATCAATAGAGTAAAAGAAACACACTAGAGGGGAAGRAGTAGGGGGAAGGAAAATACTGGGGAGCAACATTGGCCAAATTATATTGCTTATACTGTGTGCATGCACAAATATGTAACAATGAGTCCCCACCATTATGTACAATTATAACACATCAATAAAAATATGGAAAAAAGAATAACTTGACTTACAAAATTGGATAGATACTAGTGTCATTTAAGCTAGAAAATATCATAAAACCAGCATATATTTTAGAGGGAGAGAGGAAGTAATTAAGACTCTTTTTTAGCCCTGCTGAAATCACATGAGATACCTATTAGCCTAGCAACTGGGGACAAAAAGTGGGCAATTAGTTCACAAGCCTGGAGTTCTAAGTGAAAAGCAGGGTGGAGGCACAGGACACATATCAGACAAAACATATCAGATAAAATTCTCAGCATATGAACAATGATAATCTGGGACTAGGTAGGARGGACTTTTCTCTTAGGCATCCTGAAAACAGAGGACAAAGGGGGTCTGAGACTAAGCCTAGGGGTACTACTAAATGTAGAGATCCAGGATAGGAGGAAGAGGAGTCAGCAGAGGAGGTTATAAGAAAGCAACCAACGTGACAGGAGAAAATCCTGGTGAAATCACCAAAGGAAACAGAAGAGAAATGGGGAGGAATGTGAAGGTTAAGGGAGGTTTTTTTTATTTGGAATAGGTTACAGTGGTCTCTTGACAAGAATGATCCATAGAGGTAGAAAGAGATGATGAGAGAAAGAAAGAAGATAACTGCTCCAGGAAAAGTCACAGAGATGGTGACAGAGGCCAGGATCCAGAGCTCTCAGGTAGGTTGAGTCTCTGATAGAAGCAGGAATAATCCCTCCATTAGGGACAGGAGAGGAAACCAAGTATATGGTCACTGCAGTTTGGGTGCTGAGAAGATAAGGGAATATTTATGTGGTCACTTCTATTTTCTCAGGGAGATATGAGATGAAGTCATTCAGTAAGAACAAAGGTGAGGGCTGAGCAAGCTTAAGAATAATGCAGAAGGTATGAAATAGTCATTTTGGATAAGAACAAAGGCATACTAGGGAAGTATAGTAGGATCACTGGGAAGTACCAAGCACCATTGTGAATTGTGCTCATCAACTTAAATGAGACTTGTTGGCACAACTGAATACTTTTCTCCAGAAATATTTTGTTGGGTACAATCATGGGTCCATGTATGATTATATTTTACCATTAGGACTTTTCCAGGCAAAAATGAGGGTATAAGATCATCAAGCAACCATTAAATTTAAGTGGGGGAAGGTGGGAAGTGTGGGTATAAAGGGAAGGAGTGGCTGTTATCATGGTGGTAGGGTCAAAGGACTGGAGGTCACTAGGAAGTAAAAAGTGGCTGGAATAAGTATGGTTGGAGGGTATAGAGAAATAATCAGAGAGTAGAAAGATAAAAATCCCAGGCYATGTGTCATTCAGGCTGATGAATTCAAGGGTCTCATCCTGAGAAAGGGCAACTGAGCTAGGTAGAGGAAGTGGTCATTGGATGTCAGGTAGTCCAAAACTAGAGAGACCAGGAACACTGAGGTCAAGAGTGGTGATGGGAGTAGGAGGTGGGAGGAAGACAGCAGGCTCCTTGCTAAAGTTACTAGTGAATGAGAGGGGCAGGGCCAGGTCTGATAAGTGTCAGCAAAATCCAAAATTTGTTTGGATTTCTGGTATGTCTGAGGTGACTAGGGATGTCAGGAATGTTGGGATCAGTCCTGAAAGTTTCATGATAGAAGTAAAACATTCACACTGGATAACAGGAGGTCCAAGGGCTGCTGRTCTCCTCAGCACTTGGAGTTCTGAGATCTGCATTTGAGTATACACTCTACCACCCAAACAATAAAAACTCATGAAATAAAGTCTCTAATGCCTTCAATGCTATTGTCAACATCCATCTTTGCTGGTTAGCATTGATGCTTTAACATTTTTGAAGAGRAAAAAAAAAGACATTTTCTTTTTACCAAATCCACTGAATGAATAGAGAAATATTTCTTTAAGGTCAAAGTCATAAAAATGTTTATACATTTTGATGTAATAATTTCATTCCCACAAAATTTTTACTTTCTTTGTTTGTTTGTTTTTTGAGACAGATCTCACTTTGTCCCAGGTCAGTCTTTAACTCTYAGCCTCCCAGGTCTCTGGATTACAGATGTGTGCTGCTGTGACCAGCCCACATTCTTTTGATCAAGCACAACATATATACAGAAACCATAAATATAAATATGAATTTACAGAGTGAATATAGCCATGTAAAACACTCCTAAAAATCTGATGCCAGAAAATATTCACTTAAATGAATAATCTATAAGCCCCATATGTTCACACACTGTTATAGTGAAAGGGTAGAAAAAAACTAAATATTTAATGTAGAAATAATTAGGTAAATGTTCACACATTAACTCGGTAGAACATTATGGAGCCATTAAAAATGAATTTTTATAGTTTGAAGACTACAAAAAATTCACCAACTTGAATGCCACCGAGTTAGGCCTCAGATCTTCATCTGTAAAATAGGGATTAAAAAGAATGTCTCCCCTCATAAATCCATTATGAAGATTACATGAAATTGGAAAGGTAAAGTGGGTAGAAAATGGCTGATGAGTAATTAATAAAGGAGTTCTTCTCCTCCCCCCATTTTTTACTTTACTTTTTTATATGTGACAGCAGAATGCATTAYAATTCATATCACACATATAGAGCACAATTTTCATATCTCTGGTTGTACACAAAGTAGAGTCACACCATTTATGTCTTCATACAGGTACTTAGGGTAATGATGTCCATCTCATTCCACTGTCTTTCCTACCCCCATGCTCCCTACCCTCCCATCCCCCCCCC